GTACTATGTACTAGACATTATGTAGTGTGTAGACACACTAGGTTAGATACCGGTACTATGTACTCCATCTTGACAGTGAAAAGTCTCAATTCTTACGTTCATAACTTAGTTCCGTGTACATAAATACCTTTAAAGAACACTCCTTTGAAGAACAAACAATTAAACATTGTCTACACTTCAAAGTGTGCATTATTTTCAGCTCAGACTCTTAAACAAAAAGTTCTCAATTTCAAAGGCCAGCCTACACAAAGCAATGACACAGGTATAGTACTAGAGTGGAGGTCACAGACAGTTGTGTGATGGTGAGACCTTGAGAAGGGCCCACTCGCCTGATTTGCTCCAGTAAACTGTGTGCTGATGTATCTTGTGGAGGTGGACCAAATACGACCAATATTGTAGTGTCCATGGTCACAACTCACCCAAACAGTGAATAAGCCAACATCATCCAAATCTCCATCAGCTAAATGAATGTGCTGTTTACCCTTAAGACAAAAAATAAAGACACTTTGTTACCAAGAATCTAAGTAGCCTCATAAAACAAGTCCTTCTAGCCAGCCATCATTTGGCAGAGTGTCAAAGTGCTATCAAGGATAAGACTTGGTATAAAACGATTCTATTGCTGCATAAGGAACAATCAGGGATTGTGACCTGAACATTTCAAACAAGAGGCCCAGCAGACCTGTATCACTCTCTTGTTTCTTTAGTTATTCGAACTAAAGGTTATATAGTGTTTCCCTTAACTTGTCACTATGGTGATCATCTCAGATTTCTAACTGACACTAAGGATTATAATAACACTTGGTAAAGGCAATTACAGAAATATTTAATTGGTACAAATTGATCTAGTTTAATACAGCAATTTCTGACATCAAATCAACCCACAATATAACAGCATTAGTTTTTTACAATGAAGGTATCAGGTTTTGGTAAAACTGGCCCAGTCAATGATAAGAAGATGAAAATATCATCATAGATCTGGTGGCCATCTTTGATTGTGAGCTGGTTTGAAATATAACAACACTTGGTAAAGACCATGAAAGGAACATTTTAAGAGGAGAAATGGCTAAGCCTATTGGAGGCCAGGGCCGGCAATTTCAATTCTAAATTGACTGAAAAATATCCAGTCATGAGGTGATCATTTGCACCATTTTTTGTTTATATTTACTTATAAGGCCTACAGTAAGAGTATATAAGATAGCTTATGGACGCAGGCTTGTAGCCTCATGTCCAAATCACATGCTTAATTAATTACAAACTTAAATGTCATTTCTGTTTTATGCTTTGAATGTACCAAAATATTTCTGCTAAAGTTCAAATTCCTTCAAGTGATGGTCCAGGAATATTTCAGTTTTTGATGGCTGTACATTCTTTGATCTCTTCAAACCTCCCAAGGATGACCTGAAGGAGAACCATTTTTGTTCTATGTCCCCTATTTAGTCCGTTCTCTACTCCAAAGGACAGCCACACTCTACATTATTCTACATTTAATCCCCTTCACCAAGAGATGATCCATGCCAAATATGGTCAACTTATAATTTAGGGTGAGTTTTTTACAGATTAAAACCTTTTCCCCTATTGGGTTTTGCCATTCTGACATAATCTTAAGGCCCAGTCCCACTGCACTTGCGCACGAATTACTCATGAATTGCGCATAAAATTTTCTTTGTGCGTGATTCGTCAGTGATGTGCGTAAATCCCACGTGTTTCACACGTGGAGCATCAGTTTTTGTAAGTGATTGTACGCGGAGACGGGTTTGTGCGCGATCGCCGGTTTTGAACGGTTCAAAAAAATTTCCACGCACAACGTGCGCGATTATACGCAGTTTATGCGCAGTTTGTACGTAGTTTGGACGTGGAAGGTGCGTGATATGTGCATGATATGTGAGTGTTCCGTCAGTGCTTGTGCGTCAGGAACTGGCTCCTAGCACGCACATCACTGACGAATCACTTACAGAACACGCACATATCACTTACAAAACACGCACAATCCACGTATGTTCCACTTACAATCACTTACCAAAATTATTAACGCACGAAACACGCACAAATAACGTATGAAAAACTTATAAACTACGCATGAACACGCATGCATCACTTATGAATCACTTACAAATCACGCATGCAATTTTCCTGTATAAAAAGCAGCCATTTCGGCCAATTTCTTCAGTGTTGTTCATGCTGCCAAGGGGTACACATCTAGAAGACCAAGCTCCAGAAGAAGACATGAACCCTCAGAGAAGAGATGTGCTGGCATTATTGGTGCAGAACCAGAATGATCAGATGATGCAAATTCATCAGATGTTGGCCAGAAGAAGAAGAAGAAGACAGAGGAATGTCTGGGTGAGAGACTGGATCACTAGAAGACCAGAGCAGGGCTTGTATGATCGCCTGATGGTGGAGCTCAGGAATGAAGGCCCAAGATCCTTTCAGAACTTCATGCGCATGCCTCCAGACATGTTTGATGAGATTGTCCAGAGGCTGACCCCAAGGCTAACCAAGCAAACTACCAACTTCAGAGTTCCCCTGGATCCTGGTATGAAAGTTGCCATAACCCTTCGTCACCTGGCATCTGGAGCCAAGTACCATGACATGCAGTATGCCTGGAGGGTCCCCCACAACACCATCAGCAAAGTTGTTAGAGAAGTCTGCGAGGCCATCATAGAAGAGTACCTTGAAGAGCAAATGTCACCTCCAACCACTGAAGAAGGCTGGCGTCAACTGTCAGATGACTGGTACCAGAGATGGAACTTCCCTCACGTAGTGGGGGCAGTTGATGGCAAACATGTGGCATGCAAAGCTCCCCCTAATTCTGGATCAGAGTACTACAATTACAAAGGCTTCTTCAGTGTGATCCTGTTTGCCATGGTGACATCTGATTACAAGTTCCTGTGGGTGGACGTGTCTGGTAATGGCTCAGCTTCAGATGCCCAGATCTTCAACAACAGTGAGCTGAAAGAAGGCCTAGAGAACAACACCATCAGAGGGTGGCCTCAGCCCGATCCTTTGCCTGGTGACAATCAGAATGTGCCCTACTTCCTGGTGGGAGATGATGCCTTCAGTCTCAGGACCTACATGATGAAGCCTTATGGTGCCAGGAACCTCGACAGGGACTACAGAATCTACAACTACAGGCTGTCAAGATCCAGAAGAGTGGTGGAGAATGCTTTTGGCATCCTGGCCAACAGATTCCAAGTTCTTCTCAGCACCATGCAGCATCACCCTGATACTGTCAGATTGATTGTCAAGGCCTGTGTTCTGCTACACAACCTGATGAGGACTCGGTACCCTGTGCTCCAGAATCGTCTGCTGGATGTGCAAGATCCAAATGGAAACGTACAGCCTGGTGCCTGGCGAGAGGGGAGAAACTTGGAGGACACTAGAGTTGTACAGGCCCCCAACAGAGCATCCAAGGAAGGCAAGCTCCAGAGAAACCTGCTGAGACACTGGTGTAATTCGCCAGCAGGTGCAGTGCCATGGCAAGATGAGATGGTTTATGTGAACATTTAAAATGGACTGTGTGAATGTGTGCATGGAATGAATGTTTGAAATTGTTTTAATAAATGAAATTTAAAGATATATTTGTGACTTATAATTTTGTGCCAGTCTGAATGTAAGTGCAAATAAAAGTGAAAGGAATGAAAGAAAAAGAAATAAAGTCCCCAAAACAATTAAAGTCCCCCCAAAAAATAAAAAATAAATATAAAAAAAAGGAAAAAAAAGAGAACTTTCATGAAATATACAAACGAAAACTATAAGATTTTGCAATGACACTAGTTTCTTTTTCTTTTTTTTTTATTTTTTTAGAGGACTTTATTATTTAATTATTATTTTTTTTGGGGGGGGGGGACTTTTTTTTTCATTCATTGCATTCATTTCCTTTCATTCATTTCGCTTTGATGTGCACTTTCATACCAAGAACTAACAAATATTTCCAAAAGTTTTAGAAATTTATTGATAAGAAAATTTCCCCATTCACTCCTACATTTACACAGAGTCTTTTTAGCAAATGTTCATTCACTTTCCAACATTGGGCGCTGGAGGTGTATTCAGTTACTGGTCGCTGTTCCTCCTGTTGGATCCTGGTCCTCCGAACAGCTGGCTGTCCATGCTGAAATTGCCGAGGTTGAGGGACCCATCAAACACTTCCTGGCTTGACGAGAGAACTTGGGTTAAGCTGCCTGCTGACCAACGATCCCCAGTGGAGGTACTTGGCTGAGGCTGCTGCTGCTGCTGCTGGTACATCACATGTTGGTGGTGGAGGACTGGCGATGCAGACATCACTTGAGCTGGTCTTGTAGGATCAGGGACCTGGCCTTCATCTTCTTCGTCAATCATGGCTGCTATCTTGGCCTTCATCGCCTTGTACTTGTCAGCAGGTGCAGAACGCAGACTCTCCCCAACATACTTGATGAAAGCCTCTCGTTCTGAAGTGGCTGGTCTGTCTTGTATCAGCTGGGTCAGCAGCTGCTGATTAGCCTTCATAGTTTCTCTCAAGTCCTTCATCCACTCTTCTTCACGGTCCACTTCCCTCTTCCTCCTCTTTTTGATCTGTCTGCTGGAACTCTGACTCTGGCTGGCCGGAGCAGATGTCGTCTCCACTGCCTCCAGGTCTGTTTCAAGTGGAGTGGGTGCACGTTCCTGGTCACTGTCCAGTTCACTGTCAATGGCTTGTGATGTCTGGGTGGAAGTCATGGGAAAGCTCACCATGGGATCAGACTTGGTTGATGGCAGCTGGGTCTTGTAAAACTGGAGATTGTCCAGGATGTACCTCTCCCTGTCTGTGTACTTCTTGGCTGCTTGACCAGACTTGACCTTCGTGAGTCTGACGTACCAGTCCTTGACTGACTTCCACCAGCCCATGATGTGGTCCAACTCTAGCCCCAGCTCATCAGCCTTGGCAGCCCAGATTTCTCTACGTTTCTTGTAGAGGCGATTGCCCCGCCTCCAGACTTCCTCGTGCTCAACCATCCACTCAAGGAGATTTGCTTCCATCTCAGCTTCAAGGGAATAGTCATGTTTGGCAACGACTTTTCCTTTTCCCTTGCCCTTGCCCTTGCCTCAGACTTTGCCCTTGTCCTTGCCTGGACGTGCATCTTCTTCGGATTCACCAGCAGCAGGGTCTTCAATATCAGCAGCAGCAGCAGCATGCACCTCCACCTCCATCTGCATTTCAGGAGGTCTTGGTGACCTTGGGGCAGCTTGGTCTTCTTGTGGAGCTTGGTCTTCTTGTGGAACCTTGGTCTTCTTCTGGACCCTGGTCTTGGAGGGCTGGCGGCATTTCCTGGGTGGCATCTTCAGGCAGTCTTCCAGTAGTCTTCAAGTAGTCTTCAAGTGGTCTTCAAGTGATCTTCAGGAGATGTGGCTGCCTCGAGTGCTGGTGCAAGACTGGCGAAATGCTGTCAGTGCGCGCCTTTTATAGTGCGCCCTTCATCAGTGATACATGCGTGCTCCATGCGCGGACCGTACGTGATTCATCAGTGCTCGTGCGTTGTTCATGCGTGATCCATACGTGTTACATTCGCTATACATGCGTCGATTGAACGTCAAAATTGTATCGGGTTTGGGCTTGTGCGCTGTTGTGCGTGGAATGTTCGTTCTTTGTCAGTGATTGTAAGTGATACATGCGCAGTTTATACGCGATTCATCGGTGATTCTGACCACGCACAACCCCAGAAAATGACCAATTTCTCCACGAACAATCACGCACAAACCAATTTTATGCGTGATTTATGCGTGATTTATGCGTCATTGGCAATGGGACTGGGCCTTTATACAGGAAATAATGTATCAGAGAAACTTACACTAACCATCATTATACCGGAGGCCACCAACAACCAAGAAACCAACTAAGAGAAGAAAACCAGAATAAAAATGCAGGACAGAAAATTATGATACATACATGTAACAAGTCCCTACAGAACAGTCCCCAGACTCCATCACACATAAATCTCCCAGCTAGGAACATTTCCTGATGGTCAAATAGACAAATGTATCGGGTCAGTTAGATTCTTGGAAACATCTCATTTGTTTCATATTTCTAAATCAATTACTGAGTGTTACCAACAAAGGAAAGAGATGGCAGATTTATAATGCTGACAATCATCTTAACATTGCTGGAGCAAACCAATCGTGACTAATTCACCTTGTCACCAATATCTCTGTAATGGTGATTAATATTCCAGTCCTCAGCTCTAAAAATGGTATAAAGGCAGATGCTGTAATAGTTTTAAAGACAACCAATTGGATTCCAGTATATTGACCACATGTGTTGTGTGGCAGGTTACTGTACAACCCCATTTCTAGTCTCACAGCCTTCATTGACACATACTTCTGGCTTTCTCAGTAACTCTCCTCCTGGTCTCATAATTAACCACAGTAGACACATACCTCCAGGATAAAGTAACTCTCCTCCTAGTCTCATAATTAACCACAGTAGACACATACCTCCAGGATAAAGTAACTCTCCTCCTGGTCTCGTAACCACACTAGACACATACCTCCAGGATAAAGTAACTCTCCTCCTGGTCTCATAACCACACTAGACACATACCTCCAGGATAAAGTAACTCTCCTCCTGGTCTCATAACCACACTAGACACATACCTCCAGGATAAAGTAACTCTCCTCCTGGTCTC